GATAAAATCATTTTGAAATCTACAAGTTACGGATATTCTATTATACAAATATTTTATTTATATTTTAACTAAGTGTGCTCGTAGTTTATGGACTTTATTGCTTTGATAACGATTGTTTTTGCGTTTCTTTAAATTTTTCCATGCTCATTAAATCTTATGCTTACTTACAGTACGCTGGAGTACCACGACAGTGCTTCCGTTAATGCAAGATGCCAGAGAATTTGCGACCAGTGGGATCGTCTCGGTACTCTAACTCAGCGTAGACGTCAAGCTTTGGATCAGGCCGAGCGCATTTTAGAAAAAATTGATATTCTGCACTTGGAGTTTGCCAAGCGTGCCGCGGTAAGTCACACATGCATATTATTTTCAAAGCAAAAAACTTATTTGATTTTGCAATATTAATTATTAACGGTTCGCTTTACGGGTTCGCTGTACGGGTACTGTTAACCGGAAATCGTTGCGCACATAGATCCAAAGATTTTTTTGTGCTAAATCTTGGGATTTAAATTTATAAATTGAATTATCCGATTCATTGAGCATTAAATTACCAATGTTCAATTCCCATTCAACGTATAACGCAATACTCCGAGTAAGCACGACGAGATTCCGTTTACGTATATGTACGATTGCATACGAGATATATATGCGGATATTGTTATATGCGGTGGTTAACGAAATTTGATCATTAGCCCTTCAACAATTGGCTGGACGGTACGCGGGAGGATCTAGTGGATATGTTTATTGTGCATACGATGGAAGAGATCCAGGGTCTGATGGACGCTCACGCGGCCTTCAAGGCAACTCTAAGCGAGGCCGACAAGGAGTATGTTTCCATCGTTGGTTTGGTCCGCGAGGTCGAGTCTATTGTCAGCCATAATCAAATTCCTGGAGGACTCGAGAACCCCTACACTACGCTTACCGCTTCGGTAAGTACGATTACAAAAGAAAACGATTACGAAAAAAAAAAAAAAAAAAAGAAAAGAAAAAAGAAGCATTTTACGTTATAATAAATGTTATTTAAATAATGATATAAATTCCCCTCAAGTTTAAAAATGTTATCTTTTCGGTTAATACTTTCTTACTTAACCGTCATTTTGGATATTTTACTTATTTGGTTTCTTGTGTGTTCCAGAACCTTACCAACAAATGGAACAACGTTAAACAATTGGTACCACAGCGTGATGGCACTTTGGCCGCTGAATTACGCAAGCAGCAAAGTATCCTTTATTTTTTAAAATGAATAAATATATATATATATATATATATATATATATATATATATTATTTCACATTATATGATTTAAAACAGAATTCGTAATAAATTTTATTTGTGTGTGTGTGTGTGTGTGTGTGTGTGTGTGTGTGTGTGTGCGTGTGTACCTAAAAACAGAGAAAAAATACATTAATTACGTGTTCGATGCTACATTTTATCCTTAACTCGTACAATAGATAATGAGCTACTTCGTAGACAATTTGCTGAGAAAGCAAATGCCGTTGGACCGTGGATTGAACGGCAATTGGACGCTGTTACAGCTATTGGTCTTGGACTACAGGTGATTATTTTGTACGATGAATAATGTGCTTTATATTTCCCAATAAATCGTGGTATAATATGAAATTTAATCAACCCCTTGTCGTCGAACATTAGTTCGAATGATTTTAATGAATTTACCGATTAATTCAAAGATAATACATAGGAAGTGTGATTTTGGTGCGAGGAACGTCGCTATGTAACGTAGCGTTATTCATCTTGGGCCAAATCTTAAAAATACTTGAATTTTTACAGGGTACATTAGAGGATCAACTCCATCGACTAAAGGAATACGAGCAAGCGGTGTATGCCTACAAAGCTCATCTCGAGGAGCTCGAGAAGATTCACCAGGCTGTGCAGGAGGGCATGATATTCGAGAATCGTTACACGCAATACACTATGGAGACGTTACGCGTTGGATGGGAGCAGCTGCTCACCTCCATCAATCGTAACATTAACGAGGTCGAAAACCAGATCCTCACGCGTGATTCCAAGGTAACGAGACGTACAATTATAAACTTTAGAATTGACGCTCGTGTTTACACAGGTGGGCAGATATATTTGTCGCAAGCTGCCTCTCTTGATTTATCCGTGAATCTAAAAAGTTTCAAGTTGATGTTATTTATAACGACTTGGCGATACTTCGAAATATCATTTTGACGCGTTATTGCAACTTACGGGGCAATGGAATTCAGAATGATTAACACATTTGACTTTTTAACACCTTGTTTCATTGCCAAGCGATGAAGAGGGAATTATTAAACAATTATTATATTTTCAAGTTTAGTTTCCAAGTAGTTCAAGAGAATTAATGGAGAACACTTTCAAGCAGTTGTCTTACAGTTGATTTATAAATTGAAAAAAAAAAATTCATCCTCAGGGAATAACGCAGGAGCAGCTAAGCGAATTCCGCAGTAGTTTCAACCACTTCGACAAGAACCGAACGGGCAGGCTCTCACCGGAGGAATTCAAGTCCTGTCTCGTGTCGCTCGGCTACTCGATCGGTAAAGACAGACAGGGCGACATTGACTTCCAGCGTATACTCGCTATTGTCGATCCCAACAATTCCGGCTACGTGCAATTTGACGCCTTCCTCGACTTTATGACCCGCGAATCAACGGATACCGACACCGCCGAGCAGGTCATCGACAGTTTCCGCATTCTGGCTGGTGACAAGGTACGTTTGCACGCGACTCACCTCCCGATCAAGTATCGTTACCATTTCCTTGCGCCACGTATTGGAAAGAACTTTAGTAAATTATTTATGCCTTTCATTAGTTAAATCTTGATAGCCATTTGGAAAGTGAGATGACTAGTCACTTCAATTTCACACGTCCATGACTAATTGATATCAAATATCGAACATTCCAAAGTGATTATAATTTATTGCTAATGAATGATTGTTTAATTGATAAGTTACTTCAATACAAAATTCACTACGATCAATCAAAATAATTCCAAATATCCCGTACAAGGCACTATCTTTTCCCTTCCGTTTTTTCTTTTATAAAAATTTCATTTTCTTGCCTGCAGCCTTACATACTAGCCGATGAGTTGAGGAGGGAATTACCGCCAGATCAAGCCGAATATTGCATTCTGCGAATGCCACCCTACAAAGGACCGAACGCCGCTCCAGGAGCCTTGGATTACCGCTCGTTCTCCACCGCCTTATATGGCGAGTCGGATTTATAAAGTCAAGCGATATAAACACGCAAACACGGACACGCGCGCGCGCGCGCGCACGCACGCACGCACACGGACACACGGACACACACGCACACACATATATATATATATACATATACGCTCGCTCATTCGCTCAGTTACTCACACTCACTCACTCACTCGTTCACTTACTCGCTCACTCACTCACTTACCCACTCACTCACTCACTCGCTCGCTTAAAGGAAAGCAAGAAATATATGTATACATATTAGGATCTCTCGGGAGCGATTCGTCCACGCTTTTCTCTGCTTGCCAAACAGACAATTACGCCTCGAGATACAAACGGAAGCGAATGCGAACAGAATTCTTGATGTAAAAGACAAAAAAGAAGAAAAAAAAAATGGAAAACGAATGAAATTATTCGGAAATGAAACATAAAGGATGTCTAGCTTAATTAGTGCACAAATGACAGTACAATTATAAGAAAACGAATCGATCGGGGATTTTTTTTATATGAATATACAAACGGAATTTTTAATGAAAACATTCATATGATAAAAAAAAAAATATATATATATATATATATATATATACAGACAGCTAGATAGATAGATACTTTTTCGATCATTTAGGCATATACGAATATTATATACATTTATATATCCTCTATACATATAAACGATATTTTCAAAAATAGAAAGCTAGCCATTTATTTTACTTGTCGATGAAAAGACTTGACAATCTATAAATCATTCATTTGAAAACAAATTTAATTTACATGAATTTAACGTCCTTATATTATCAACTAGAATTTAATGAGCTTTTTTGAAGAATCGCTTAAATAGATTTTACACGATAAAGTGATTCGTAAGCCACAAATACAGAGTATTTTGCCATATCCTACGTCGACGATCATGATTATAATATAATATTATATAATAATTTTTCTAAATCGTCATAATATATATTAAGAAAAATGTCGTCGCTAAAACATCGATTTTATAAAACTTGCGCAAGCCTTTAAATACTTTGCGATACTCGTGTTCGCATGTAACGTCTTAAAATAATCAATTTTATAAAGGATAATATATGGCAAGTCCTCGTCTCGAAATTGCATGTTTCATGCCTATTTTTTTATAAAAAGATAATTGATAAGCGACTAAATAAAATAGAAGGGGAGAGAGACAAAGAGAGAGAGAGAGAGAGAGAGAGAGAGGAGAGAGGGAGGGAGATAGTTAGACGGGTAGGGGAGCAAGGGAAATACGGCGAAATAAACTCGCGATGCTAAAAAGTGGCCGTATTTAACCTAAATCCTACTATACTAATAAATGATTAAATGCGAAACTATAAAATAATGAAGATACAAATTATTTATTTATTTGATTTATTACTTATTTATTATGAATATTATATATATATTATATATATCAATATATACTGTAGTAAAATGCAATGAACATTCAAAGTATTTATTTTTATAAATATTTTTTGATGCCACGAGAGATCTTAAAACATAATCATGAAAGAAACGAAGAATATCGTTTACGAAATCAGATGTCACGTAACCATTATTAATGAAATCATGTCTTCGATTAGTTTATACAAAACGTTCAATCAAATAATATTTTTGAAGAGTATTAATGTGTGTAAAGACAGGCGTAAATAACAGGCATCGAATGAGATTTTTCTTTGGGCTTTGACGTTCACATACTTATGTACTGATAATAGTTATTGATTTATTTACGTCATTAGAATTTGTCGCTAACGTCTCTATTGACACATATCGAATTGATCTTTATATTTTTAAAAGAAATATCTTTTCTCTCCACGAAACGATGAAAAACGATTGTCTAAAGACAAATGATGAACCATCGATCGAGCCCAGATTTATTTAGAGCTCACCATCTCAGAACAATGTATTCGCACTTTATAATATCTGTACATAAAATATATAATTTAACAGTACATTTTTTAAGACGGTTTAGTTATCGAATAGAAGAACATTGACTGTCATTGCGTCACAGGTCGTCATAATATTATGTAATGAAGAAATGCATCTTGGTGATTGTCGCATCGCATCGCACTTCACACTCTTACTCGACTGTACTGTGTATTTTTCTCTTTCTTTTTTGCCTACTTCATTTTTTCCTCTACTAGTTTAATAACAAATATAAGATTGTAAAATGAGAAGAAAAATACGTGAAAAAATAAATTTGAAAAATTCTTAAACTGCTTTTTTATTTTCATGCTTCTATGTATTCTTCAATGTATTCTCATATAATTGGTATACGATGTAATAAAATATAATACAATGGTGCAATTTTACCTTATCGAGTCACTCACAAGATAATCACTGTATCCTAGATACAATGCCTATTTAATATTGTCGAGATTATATTGTATGTGGGATGAGTTGTACAGAGAGACAACAATATGATCAGAGAAATACGATAGGACTTTCAGTCATACATAGTTTGAAGAAAAACAAAATTTCTTCATGAAAAATTAACATTACGTATATTAGAATAAATCAAATTTAAAAAGCCAAAGTACATATTTCGATTAGCACAGAATAAAATTCATGCCCTATAGATGGAAAAATATATCTCCCATTTAACGCACGATTAAATAATGAAATTGACAGGTACAAGTAATGTTGTTTGACATTAAATTTTCTTAAACAAAGTATTCGATACTTAATTAATTCAATAACAAAAATCTAATCATCGTTATAACGCGAAGAATAAACAAATAAGCTCGAAATTGTTCGATAATCTTTACGATGCTCGTAAATAATTTTTTATAGATTTTTCGGTATATCTACAACACTTCATTGTCATTCTAGTGGTAATGCTAATTACTTCATATTTTATCAGTAAAATTTTAAAAGTGAGTGAAATATGTATATGCCGTTTATTAGGCTACATAATTGATAATATAAGCTCTCTATTGTTTTCCACTTTTTCCTTTCATATTTTTGAAATCCATATGATATATTATCGTTTCATAATAATGTTACTTTATTTATCTTCTTTCCCTTCGATATATCCTCATATTGTACAATACAGTCAATAATTTGTTTATTATTATAACGTTGTCTTAATAAATTGTATATTTCAATATTAACTATATTTTTAATTTCAATTATTAATTATGCTTTTAAGATCGAATATAAATAAGGATATTCTTTTTCTTCAGATTTTATAAAGCTAAAATAATAGAAATAAACTATTAGAAATTTTAAATTAAATATTATCTTAATGTAAACGTTAAACTACAATTTATACATATTACCGACGTCTGTCTGCTTATAGATAAATGATAATTTATAGGAAAAAGTGCTTAATTCGTTGTATGATTAACTAATATCGTTGCCGTGTCATTCTATTAAGGATAACAATACAATATTTAACGATTTGTGTATACATTTACATAATACATTGTATTATATGTATAAATGTATTCATGTTACGACTGAGTAAACTGTTTGGTAAGTAATAAAATTAATTTTATGGGCGGTTAATTATCTTCATTAACGCAACATTGAAGTTTGTAGAATAATGATCATCGCTTAACTTGTATACAATTGAAGTATACTAAACATTTATATTCCTATATATCTTATGGGTTATTATAAAAGTAGTTTAATAATCCTAATAAATTACTTAGAATATTATTCACAATTAATGGCTGTTGTTAGAAAATGTGCATGCATCATTATTTTGAAATTTTATAATTTTCACCTAATTACTATAATTTCTTTTATACTCTATTAAGTAATAAATTCGATCGCTTGAAATAATTTTACTTTTTTAAATATTGACATTTGTATACTGCATTTTTCTTCAATTGCTATTATTAGATGTATAATATAAATGATAATGTGTGATTAGTAATTATAAAATTTAGATGTTTAATTTCTCATTAAAGGGGAATGTACGAGGAGACAATGAATTAACACAGAAAAATTATTCTAATAATGTTATTATTATTATTATTATTATTATTATTTTTTGTTTTGTTTTTGTTTTTAATAAAAGAAAGACGGCTAGCTAATTTATAGAAGAAACAATTCTTTTTACAACTTCATAAATCACTTCTTACTGGATAAGCCAACTTTTATAAATAATTTTTATTGTTTTTGTAGCTTAATGTTGAAGATCTTGCACTCATTGAATTGTAGTTAGTGGTAATAACATTTGTTTTACAAGCACGAAAATATTGCCAACCATTATATTATAATCATTAATAAGAGGGATACCTGCAATCTAACTTCACTGTAAATAACTTCAAATGAGTTTAGATTTGTTTACAACTTAGTTTTCAATGGGCATTTGCACTTTTAAAAATTATTTCTGAATAAATATTATATAATAGATTTATTTCGTCTCTTAGTAAATATCTTTAGCGTAATTTATTTATCTTTTTATTTACAAAATAAAATATGCTGAACACCTTATTTTGCTTAAATGTACTTTACAATTGACTGCTTGCGAAGGAAATTTGAACTAAGTTAATAGTAAATTTGAAATGTTAAGACAGAACTTCCATTATGCATTGCTACTTTAAGATGAATAATGAACGCATAAAGTATACATACATGAATGAAACGAATTAACTTATTAATAAGCAAAAGAAACTTTGGTTTAAAATGAATAATTAAAAATCTGCTTGACTATTATAATATTTCTATGGCAATCTTTTTTGTACATAACATTTGAAATGATATTTTTTTTTTATCTTACAATACTTTTTCTCAACTGTTTGTAAAGTTTTCCCTAATTCTATTTCAAATCTGAAACGTACATAAAAAATATAATACAAAATAGACTTTGAGTAAAAAAATATTTAAGTTTTCTCTTTTAGCCCATATTTAATCAATTTAATTTCAGAATATCTTTTAGCTTAAAAAAGTAATCGTTAAATATTTTCGAAATCCTGAAATTGAAGGAAGTACCAATACTGGTTTATTAATTTTTTTTTTTTCTATGAATGCTTCCTGCTTTGTTGTCCTAGACTCTCGCTAAAACTATTTACAATATGTACTTTTTGTAGATTCTCACTCTTTTGTTTATTTTTTACCAATCGCGAGTAATAATAAAATTACAGAAAATAAACGTAGTCTTTTACTTTTATAAATACAAAGTTCTTAAATATAAACGTAAAACACCTTTATAGATCACGTACGCACAATTCATAAATGCAAATAATTATGTATTTGTTTATGAGATTTATGGGACATTAAAATTAAATTATATTGTATCTAGTTACTGACAATCCTTATTTAAGAAAAATTATCCACATGGAAAAAGAAACAACCTTATCGAAAATCAAAACTTTGTATCTACTCTACGCCGCCTGTGCATATATCTCTTTCTATTTCTTTGTATAAATTTCATGGTGCTAAAAACAAAAAAAAAAACAGTATAATAAACCATTTTAAATTGATAATATACTATAAAACTAGTGAAGGTAATATATAATAATATATCATAATATATCATAATATATCATTATACATTATCTTATTGAGTAAAAATTCTTTTCTATGAACATCATAAATGAATGAAAGTTTTGGATTTTAACATTAAAACTTCAACCTTTCAAAACTAGGTATTATTAGTTATCGTATTGTGTTTAATTGTAACAAAAATTAAGATATTTTACTTTTATTTTTCGTTTAAAGCTTTAATTCAACATATTCATGTCAATAAATTCAACATTACTGAAATATTAGGAAATTTCAACACACACACACACACACACACACACACACACACACACACAGAGAGAGAGAGAGACAAATTTATCGGACACGTTTTCAGGTACATAATTACTTTTAACAATATCAAAAAATTTAATAAAATATAAGAATATTTTAATTGATACTAGACACTTTATAAAATTACAAAATTGAAGTTTTTTTATGAAATTTGTGAATCATTGTCATTATGCAAGTTCATGCCCTAGTGATGATAATCATGCAGTTCTAAATTTTCTCGTGCTCATCTCTTTGCCACTCATGGACTTTGATTATTTTCTTTTCCCATTTATATTGTTTAAATAAAAGGATGAGCACGCTCCACGCTAAAGTTCGATATTATAATTTTAATCATTACGTTATATTTATTTCTAGTATTAAGAAATTATTCATAGATATTATGTAAATTAATTATATACCTAAAAAGTGTCCCTGATAAATCATATGTGATAATGCGTAGGTTTAATTTCACATCTTCTAGTAATGCAATAACGACGAATTTAAAAAGAAAGTAATATCTAAAACAACCGATGTTAGTAAGTTAGCTTATTTAGCTTATAATAGACGGAACTCTGGACCACAGAAAAGGAGCGGTCACAACAACGAACACATGTATTCCTCAATTACATATCAATATGTAGATAACTCAACGATTAATTGCATTGAAATCGAAGGCTCTAAGAAAAATTATGATATATATTAAGGGCATAGTAAAGCATTTCATTTTGTAGCTATGATCAAGCACTTTGAAGATTAAATGTGTGTATTTGGGAAGTATTGCCTGATTGAATTGTAGTCGACAAAGGTTAGATAATTTTCATAACACTTATGTAGTTTCAAGAAAAGAACGTATCAAACATTTTGCTAAGCTATATATTAAATCGATGAGCAGTGTACTTTAGCTTGCTCATCTATTAAGACTTAATATTATTGTCCAGGCAAATAAACTCGTAACAAGTATCTACAAAGGCGATTTGTCATTGAAGTTTTTACAAAAGAAATATATTAACTTTTTACACACTTTGTACACCGCATTTTTGCATTCTGACAATTTGTTCATTTTACAAATTGGTAAAACGGCGATTGGGTGCGTTGATTTTTTCATATTTACATATCCTTAAAAGAAAATATTATACTTGTACGAATTCTAGCGGATAAAAGATCACCAAAAGAAGACTATGAATTTTACATTACATTGGTAAAATCATTTCACTTGACTTAATATATATTTTTGTAAGCTGTGAAATATTAAAATACTGCCTTTTCTATAATAAAATCTAAAATATTTACATCGTCAATTTCAACTCAGCTCCCCCAAGGGCATTAAAATTAATGAATCGTATAATATCGTATAATCGAGCTTGTCTATCAGAAAGTTACTATATAATGGGGAGGAAAAACAAAAAAAAACAAAAAAAAAATAATCGAAAATAAAACTATCGATATCTTCCCGACTTGCAATAACAATTAACATTAAAGTCGGTTTACAATCTTGCCAATAAAAATAGCACAATTTAAATTTAATGGAGAAATAATTGAAAAAAACAGACACGTCTCGTTGGAGTGTAGTTTCTCGCAATCCTTTAGGATGTTTTGTAACAAAAGATGCTATGATATCGATTAATATCTAATCAGAGATATCATACCATTTAATCATAAAAATTGCGAAAACGCGTCTACGAATGAAAAAATAGGATAAAAATATCACTCGGTGCTTATCGGATCAAAGTTTCGAACGCAATGGGAGTGAAAGAGCAAATAAATGGTTGGAAAACAAAAATTTGATTTTCTTACCATTTCCATACTTTAGACAGCTGTACAAGATAATAATTTACAATTATATACGCACTTTCGAGTTTTCAGGTTTTGAAGGTCACTATACCGCCCGTAGCGCATAGTTCCACCACCAAAAAAATCTAACTATTATGTAATGACACGTATATAAGCAAACATTTCGTTCGAATCTAACTAACTCTATCTTGTCCCTTCGAACAACGACACTCTAAGGCGGCTACGTAATAATTAGAATAAACATCGTACGACATGAAAAAATAATGGGCATCCAAAGCTGCTTCTGGGAAAAATAATTGAAATGCAAAACATGAAATGCGTTCTCGACTAGTCGATTTTCACGCAGGAGTTGCAGACCCGCACGGGGTTGTCCCAGCCACGGCGGGGCACCGGCTTACGATGTTGGGAGCACTCGTGGCATACACCTCGACCACAGTCCCTGCAGTGATGTAGCGTCAGGAAATCGTCGAACATCTCCTCGCACACGCAGCAACGCTTGACCTCCGAGTCAGGCACCCAATACGATGGTCTTGCCGTTTCCTTGATGATTGCTGCGAAAAGATTATTCGTTCAGTTGATAAAATTGCGATGAATAGTGTTAGTTTAGATAGATGTCGTCGATGATTTTATTAAATACGATAAGCAACTTGCAATTGTTCAAGTGCACTTCGCGTTTTACGACTGCGACGATGAAGATACGTTTATAGCGATAAACAATTTCCGCATAAACACGATCTATAATTGTATTTACCAGCATTTATTCTAACATGTTTTATATTTTTTGGATGAGCGAAAGATATCGGGTGGGCTAGGGTGATTTCCCATACCAACAAGTAGAAGATTATCATGCTCGAGATAAAAGTATTGCATTGCTATTGTAATAAAATGATAATGATCGGA